ACATATAATTTGCAGAATTTCACCACCGTTACTTTTGAGGCAATAATTATGTATTCTACCACTTGGTAAAACAGGCTGCATGTAAGTTTCCTGTTATTACAGAGCTGTAATTTCTACTCTTCCAAACAACAAGCTGTACCACAATATTACAATTTCTGGACGTTAATGGACAGCCACGGATTTTCACAGCTGGAGAAAGAGATGCAGCTTCCTTAGCACCTCTGTGGGACAATTACACACCACTTGACCTGGTCCTCGTCACAGCATGCAGACATCACGAAGCGCCTCACAGGGCCACCCCTTCCCCCTCTGGACACAGGGCCTGGGCCCGTGCTTACGTCACATCACACCCGTCCCTCTTGCTACCACCGGCTCAATGCACACTCAATGCTCTGCATTCTACAGGTGCCTGGTGTGCCCATTCTGTGCCAGGACTCGGCACTGCTGACGCAGACAGGGCTCCTGTCATTGTGGAGTTTTTTCATGGATGGGGAGACACAGAGTACGGAGAACAGATAGGACAGTAGGTGGTAACAGAGACTGGAAAACACAGACAAAGGTGACGGGATGGTGTGATTTCAGTTTTAGAAGTGGTGGTTAAGAAAGGCCTCCCTGAAGAAGGTAACAGAGTGAGACACAGGACACCTTGAAGGAGATGCACACCAGCAAAAGGAACAAGCGAAAGGCCCAGGGCAGAATGAATGCCAAACAAGACTGAGATTCACTAGGGGTCCAGCTTTGCAGCAGCAGAGAGACACCAAAGACAGAAAAAGACAGAGGTTTCTTCTCAAAAGGAGACTGTGGCCCCAGAAAGTGCCGCCCAAGTGGCGATTCTGACAGGAGAACCTCCAGGCTCACACGGATGCTTTGCTGAGAACAGAGCAGGCAGAAAAGATGAGGCCCCCTCAGGAGAGAAGACAAAACTCCAGGTGAGTGTGAGCATCCCTGTGACAGCATGACAGGGCTGGGTAGCAGTGAGGCTCCTCTGACAATACTGTGACAGCACAGGCGAGGCTGGTCAGGGAAGAGACCACCCCAGGGAAGACCCAGGTCAGCTTGCTGCCATGGACTCCAGCACCAGCCCTTCCTGTCCTATCTGAAGATCAGGTGGGTCTGCTCTCCCTCCAGTGTCCTCTAAGAACACCCTCCTTCCTCGGTGTTATAAAGCAAGAGCTGGTTTCTGCCACTTGCAGCTAAAATAAACTTATCTCCTACAGTGATCAGCACTTTACACAGAAACCTGGGATACACAACAGCTCGGCACTCATCCAGGTGCCGCCTTTCCTTAAGGAAGAGTCACACTTGAATCCCAGGGTGACTGGCTGGGAAGGTGACTGGTTGGGAAGGTGGCCGCCTTCACTAAACTCCCTCTGAGGCTGGGACCAATCCCCTCCCCACCATCAGGTGCAGAGCTTAGTGACAGGGAGGGGTAGGAGAAGAGGGCAGCAACAATCCTGGCTGGGCTCCCAGCCACTGGAGAGGCAGGCTCGCTGCACTAGGCTGCCCTTCCCTTCCCACCAGCGCCAGGTCAAGGCCGTGGGCCCTGCTCAGCAAGCACAGAGCAGACCTGCTCTACCAAGGCGAAAGCTCAGCTACTTCCACACAGGAGGAGGAAAACAGGGCTAAGGCTGACACATCACCTTTCGTCTTGCGAGAGTCATAAAATCTCCTCTGCTCTCAAAAGTAGCTCACAGGGCTCAGCACTCAGGATGCCCTCATAAGGGTCCATATTTTAACACAAAAAGAAAATGTTGTGTCCCCCAAGGTAACATTCGTACCAGTGCTATAAGAAAAGCATACACTTTAAGCTGCAAATCTGAGACTTGATAGTATGCAGGTTTTTCTTTTTTTCAACAATGACTGAAGCCAGGCATGGTGGCACACAACTATAATCCCAGCACTCAGGAGGCTGAGGCAGGAGGATCGTTGTGAGTTCGAGACCAGACTGGGCTACAAAGTGAGCTCAAGGTCAGCCTGAACTGCATAGTGAGACCCTGTCTCAGTAAGACCAAAAAAAAAAAAAAAGAAAGAAAGAAAGAAAGAAAGAAAGAAAGAAAGAAAAAGAAAAAAAAGACTGAAGGGTTTTGGGGAAAGAATACACACACACATACACACACACACACACACGGCTCTGTGTGTGTGCCTGTGTGTAAACTGAGTTAGTGATAAGCAAGTAACCTTCTTAATGCTTTAAAAAGTATTCAATTCAATTCAAGGGATATGCCAGGAATTTCAAATTTAAACTGTCAAAAAGATTAGTCATAAAATCTTGGAGCCAGACTAGAACCTAATCTAACCAATACTCTTTCCCCACTTTATAGATAAGAAAGCAGAAGCCCAGGGAAGGGTATAATCTGTCAAGGTTAATAAATCTTATTAACAAAATCTACTCTGAAACCTTGGTCTCCTCTCAGCCCAGCACCTGCCCAGCTCCCAGCAGTTATCTAGTTACATTGTTTATTTAATGTTCTGTGAGGAGGTCTGTAAAATGTTCAGCACAAAACTGGACAGATAATATCTTCAAACTTAATTTCCTCCTCATCTTTTTAATTTCAATACATGACAATAATTTGGTGACTAAAAAAATTGGGAAACACTCTCAGTAATTTAAAAACTGTAGAAATGAACTGAAATTAAGTCACAAAGGAAACCCAAGATTGACACAGGAACATATAAATCAGGCAAATAGTAAGCGGTAACTGATCATAAAAAGACTATAATGTGATTTGAAAATATGAGGTTTCATAAAATCAGCAGGATCCTAGAAAATGTCAGCTAAGTGACAACACTTTGCTAAAAATAAGTTCCAGCCAGGCATGGTGGTGCACATTTGTTATCCCAGCACTTGGAGGTTGAGGCAGGTGGATCAGTGTGAGTTCAAGGCCAGTCTGGGCTACATAGTGAGCTCAAGGCCAGCCTGACCTACATAGTGAAACCCTTTCTTAAAAAGCAAAAGCCAAAAATAAATAAGTCCAAGGCTAACTATGGTGACACACACCTTTTTTTTTTTTTTTTTTGGTTTTTCTCCGGTACCGGGAACCGAACTCATGACCTTGCGCTTGCCAGGCAGGCGCTTTGCCGCTGAGCTAAATCCCCAGCCCCAACACACAACTTAATTTCAGCACTTCAGAGGCTGAGGCAGAAGGATCACAAGCTTGAGGTCAGCTTGAGCCACAGACCAAGACTTTGTCTCAAAATAAAAACAAACAAAAAAACCCCCAAATTTAATAAGTAAGTCCATGGCATTTAATTGGGATAAAACTGAGGTGACCATATTATTAAGAACCAAATATACCAGTGTGGAGAGAGGAAAACAGGAGCTAACAGGACAGACTGCCAAGACAACAGGTCAAACCAACACCTTCCCTTGCACCTCTGGCTATAGGATCACACGATATAAACTACCCCTACGAAAAAGCTACATTGTTCCATCCAGACAGAATGCTCCCAAGAGATGCAGATCACAAAGAAACAAATGTTTTAAAATAGGTCTACAAAGAAAACAGCAAAACCCCACAGAATAAATTTCTTTTTTCATGAAAATTCATTTCCACTACCTACTTCATCAGGTGGTGAAAAGTAAACCTAAGAAGATTCATCAATTTCTCCTCAAAAAAATTCTCTCCCAACCCTGTGTTAATGCAACAGGTAACATGCAAGTGGATGAGTAGGGCACACTGGCCTCATTTTAGACAGAGGAGTAGGTTCAAGAAGGGCCTGGTGCCTCATCCAGGTATACATGAGCGGGCCTGCCACTCTTTCCCTTCCCTCCAGGTGAGATGGACAGTGTTATTCTCAAAGGAGAAGGGGGCTCTGGTCTGTGTCTGGCCTCCTCTACAAGGCCAGTCAACGCTCATGGACTTTGGTCCCCAGGTGACAACCAAGACCCAGGAAATCAACTCACTTTGGAAATTCAAAACCTCAGAATCCAATTTCCACCACCAAGGATTGTGCAACCTAGCACTGTTTCTCCTCAGTGACCATCTGTACCAGCACTCTGGGTGCCAGACCTAGGACAAGTGGAAGGCCTTCTCCACTTACAATTATCTTTCAATCCAGCCAGAAATCCTGGGAACTACATTTTTCTTAAGTGTCTCTATAATTTTTAAAGTGACAACATACTATTTTTAAAAGGATCAAACAATAGAGGAAATAAAAGAAACAATGCCCTACAGTTACAACTAGTATATATCCTTAGCAAATTTTTTTTTTTTTGGTCTTTTTGAGACAGGGTCTCACTATGCACTTCAGGCTGGCCTTGAACTAATAATGATCCTCCTGCCTCAGCCCCCTGAGTGCTGGGATTACAGGCATGCCCACTACACTTGGCATCTTCACAACTTTTTCTATACCACAGAATGTTTTTTTACAATGAGGCCCAGTAAGTAGAATTCTGGTTTTTTTTTAGCGAACATATTTTGGGCATTTTCCTACAAGAATCCACACAGTTCTACTACATTCTTTTTCAGGCTACATATTATTTCTCTACATGACCACACCATGATTTACTTAAGATAGGCATTACTACTTTTGTTTTACATATGAGGAAATAAGTTCTAGAACGTTACATAATTTGTCTAAGGTCACATAGCTAGTAAGTAGCAGAGCCAGGCCTGGGACCAGGATTACCAGATTCCAAAGACTGCATTCTCAAACACTCCCATCCCACATGTGCTCTGCACATCTCTGCCACACAGCCAACTGTGGAGGCCTTGAAGGGTTAGGATCTCTCAATCCCAGGTGCTCACCACCTTGTGACATATAGTTGAAGTTAGTAAGCACTATATCTCACTTTTAGGGTGCTACATCTATCTCCCCTAGGGGGCCATCTGCACCTTTCACAGTGTCCTGTCAGATACCCAGAACACAAACACTTGTTCAAAATGTCCATCTGGGATCCAGCACAGAGCTGCCTCCTACTCTGCCAGGCCTCTAAGCCTGCCTGGATCTCAGGACCATCTGCAAGGCAGACTCAGACCCCATTCCAAGAGGAGCCTCACCATGGCCACTTCCCACAGAGAGCCTTCTGTCTCACCCCACATGCCCTAGGAAGGCAGCACTTCAAAGGACCTCAGCAGTCTTCTCTGCATCCCTCCTTTGGTAGTGACAGAGATCATAAACTATGGGTTCAGGACAATCTAATAAAGCTGCAAATGATAAGAAATACAGTGAACATTTCTAAATGAAAGTATAAGACATTTCAGTTTAGATCATGCTAGGTGCTACATGGCGTTGAATGTAGAAGATAAAGGCAGTGAGATTTTACAAAGATCTAAATATCTATTTCAGTCTCTAAAAACTGAGAATTCCCAAGTTTATGTCCTGTCCCACCAACTCAGTGGTACTGCGGAGTTCTGGTTTAGGCAATTTTCAGCACCAGATTTCTTTGAATACTGGCCAGTATCTCATAAATATCTAGAGATTCTCCTACTGTACCCTTAACAATGAAGGATTAACAGACTTCAGTACTTTAAAAAAGCTAGCAAAACACAAAAATTCACTAGGTATGATGGTATTGATAATTCCAGGACCCTGGGAAACTGAGGCAGGGGGAGTGCAAGTTCCAGCCCAGCCTGGGGAACCTGTCTCAAAAAAGAAAAAAAGAAGGTCCAGGAATATAGCTCAGTGTGAAGGTCCTGGGTTCAATCTCTAGTACCAAAAACAAAACAAAACACATAAAGTTCACTTTTCCATTAAATTCAGTCATGGAATATAACTACTTTTTGCTTTACTACCAAAAGTACAAGCAATCACTATTCCTATTATTTTTTAATTATTTATTTAAAGAGAATAATTTAAAAAGAACAAGAGCAAAATACCACCAACATAGACAAAAATAAAACAAAGCAAAAATAATAAAAATGATACAGGATTTCAGAACAAAATGATAAGAATTAACAATGGCTGTTATATTACATATTGTCATCTTCAATGAAGTTGCTCAGATTACCAGATGCTATTATTTTAAAAATCCCATTCTCCCATCCTAGTTATCCCACATGAGTACATAATTAGTAACAACTCTCTAAGAGGACAGGAAACCAACTGGATGGTAAAGTATTCTCTATTAACAAGGGTATTTGAGTGTTTGTTCAATTCTAGAGCCAAATAACCACATGAAGAGACTAAAATTCAGCTCTCAGGTTTGATTTGCAGTTTTATGGCAAGATGCTGCAAGAGAGCCAAAACTTGCAGCGTAAGAAAACTCTGACCTTGCATAGAACATAAATTGGGTAATTTACAAGATCACTCATTCTTTCATTTAGGGAAACTTTGCTGTGCCCAATCTGGACCCAGGACATACAGTTAATAAAACTGTCCCATTCCCACCCTCACTAAACTTGAAGCAGAGACAAAAGAAACACCAGAAAAGACACCGTGGAGCTGGGGAGACAGCCCACAGGAAGCCTGCCTGCTGTAGACTCCAGGGGCAGGAAAGACTGCCCAAAGGAAGCACCACACAGGCTGGCCGGAAAGGCATGAGCCACGGAATGGAACCGGAAGATGAGCGACTGTGCTCTAGCACAGAGCCCTGGACACGGGGCTGGGCAGCAAATGGCTATCTTCTGTGGTGGCAAAGACTGGACTGTTGAGTGGTCACACCACACTGCAGCTGTGTGTCCAGCCAGACCCTTCCTCTTCTCCACTATCTTCCACTTACTAAACAGTGATCTTTTACACTCCAATTTGATTTTTCCTATTCTTTTCTATCTTATTTACAAAGCAAAGCATACAAGGTAAAACTCATAATCGACTGTGCTAGAATACACTGACTGCAAAGAAAACTAGAATCAGAATCTCTCTCCAGACACAGTAAGACTTTAATACAGTATTTCAGAAAAAGTAGCTTAATTATAATAGCACCAATTAAGTATTTTTTTTTCTTTTTTTTCCGGTACCGGGAACCGAACTCACAACCTTGCGCTTG